ACAACAAAAATTAGTCATAGTTGCATCATTCCCAATAAAACCCGCCTAAAACTATCTGTTGCCATGGTGGGCTGCTAGAGATAAACTAGCGTCACTGAAAATCACTATTTTTCACTCTTTAGACTTTTTAACTTATTCCCAGTTAATCAAAGCGATCTGGTTATCAGGCCTCTTTCTTATTTTGTAATCGATAGAGCAAGCTATTCTATTTTCTCATGTTGTTGAATTTCGTACAAATGTTTGCTAGCTGCCGATAATTCTTAATGAAGTGCCCCAATTTAAATTTTGAATTAGTTTTTTTCACACACTGAGTCTGTTGGTACATTTATGAGAGTCCCACGAACATTCAGATATTAACTTCATGGCTTATAATGCTAGAATTCGGAGTTTCTCCCGCACCTTACAAAGTATAAATAGCCCATTGTGTATTTTCACACACAAATGTTATACAGTAGGCTTAATATGTTTTATACATCAACGTATTGTAGACCAAAGGAAGCAACAGCGTTGTCAAAGAGTAAGAATAATGAGGATTAAGTCTTTAGAATGTCTAAAGCTAAATTTAAAAAAAAATTGTTATCGTTTACGGAGTGATTGTGCGGATCGAACTTAAACAAAATTTTTTAAATTTATTATCGTGGCTCTAAACAGATTAGGTCAAATCTCAGTGCTAATGTATTTCTAATAACAAATCAAGCTTTACTCCAGCTATTTGTATCAAAACATGCAACTAGAGAAAATGAGGCGCTTCACTCTTCGATCTAAGTTTAATACAATTTTATTTTTTATTTTCTTTCTGCACCTGTTTCCTTCTTAGGACATAAATAGGCCTATTTATGAAAATGGTACTACAAGCTGACGTAAATTTATTGTCTGTTGTTATTTCTTTATTCTGTTTTAGAATATATGGCTTCTATGACGAATGTAAGAGGAGGTACAGCATTAAATTATGGAAGATCTTTACAGACTGCTTCAACTGTTTACCTGTTGGTGCGTATTGAGATATTTCCTGGTGGTGAAGAACTTTTAATTACAATGTTAAAAATATTGGTGCCGTCATCGTAAAAATTACTTTCGTTATTCCAATGAATTTTGACCTGTCTGTCTCTCTCTCAGCATTTGTCAGTATGTAATAATGTGGTTAAAATATACAACAGTGACTAATGTTCATGATGTGTGGGCTATTTTAAAAGTGATTCTCAGTTTAATTAATTACTTAGAAAGTTAAGGTTTTAATTTTAACTTAGAAAACCTGTAATTCATCTTGTATTATATAATGAGGCAGACGCACATCATTTGTTGTTGTTGTTACCAAGTGTCCAAAGAGACAAAACTTGTATCAACTGATTAAAAAGAACACTTGAATGTCAGCCACGCAATTTAGTTTTAGTCTTTTCGTTTAGTGTTAGCGTGAAATGTTTCTAAGCCTATAAGTATACTTTTGGGTTACTTGGTATTTTTTTAAACATATTTTTAATATCAAGTGGAAGTAACATTTGATTACGTTTCTATTTCACATTCAGATGTTAATACTATTAGTTACTACCTATAGATATCCATGTTGTTAATGTATATATTAAAGTAATGGCGATGTTTCATTCTTGTTAGTTTTTAAGCTTCAGGTGCATATCTTGGTTTAAAGAATAAATATAACTGTTAGATAATGTTTTCAGCTGCTTTGGTTGAAGGAACGATATTCTGCATGCATGGCGGTCTGTCTCCTGATCTGATGGATCTGGATCAGGTAAGTTGAAGTTGCACCATAATTTGATGATCTGGTTACGATCATGCTACACTCACAATTCGCTTTATCTTCTTATGTCCATCAACTTTATTTCGGTTATACTTATTCCTACCAGGAATTGACTCATACCAATGTAACATAACAAATTGCAAATTTATTAGTGGTAATCAATAACATAGGTTTAGAAGTAGTTTTTGTTTCATGGTAGTAGCATATTACTTTCTTTCTTCGGTTCTCTCAGTTTATTCGTTCTCTCTCACGTCCCACTTTCTATTCTCCTTCCCTTCTTTTCGTTGAACTGCTATCTTTTATATGCTTTTCTCGAACCCACTCGGAACCGACACCTTTTTTTCTGACCTTGTACCTCTTTCCCGTATATCGAATTATGACATTTCTAAACCATATGGGATTTTGTCGTCTCCATACCAGCTAAACTTTAAAAGTCGGCCAATCTCTCCAATGATATTCTTTCTAATGACTCCTAATTCCTTAGACTCTGGCTAAAGTTTGGCTGCTTTCTCACCTCTCAACTTCAACCGATATTCCTTACGGCCAACTTCATAACAAATATATAATATATATATATATATATAATATTGTTCGTGGGTCACGTTCCAAGTTTGAAGCCGTGGGTGCATTCGATTAAAGTAGCCCAAGAGTTGACGCTGGGTTTTGTTGACTAATTGCCTTCACTCTAGCTGTATCAGCTCAAAATTAAGGAGAGCTATGATCATAGCTTTGTATAGCTTTACACAAGTATCCAAAGCAAATAAAAAGATCTATAAAGGTACTGTTACATGATATTCAATATATAGTTATTCAATATGGTAATAAAATGAGACTTTAACGTTTTAATATGATTTGATCAAATGAAAAAAATATGTGAATTTAATGATGTATTAATGGATTGAGTTGTTTTGATAAACGCAGATTTTTTGTTGTTTTCCAATCCATATCATTCTAAGTTTCTTGAATGTGGGTTGATAGGTAAAACGGTATAATGATTTTTAAAGCTGTTTACCAGAAAAACATCAAACTGAATTTCATTTTACGATCGTTTGCAAAAACACACAAGCCATATACAAATGTTGAGTATGCTATATAATAACGATTTTGGAGTCTCACAATGTCGTTATAAGCCATGTCGCCAAGTCCAATTATGCTCTTTCTGACAACCGTGCATCTTGACACTAGCTAGCCTTGTAGTTTCCATTGCAAAAGGCTCCGTCGTAAGGTTGTCATGTCTAAAACACAAAACTAATCCCTAATTCTTTTCACGGCTAGGGTACGACTTGTTGCAAGTCTCTTTATGAGTGATCCTTGACCCCATAATAATTTCTTTGTTTTCCAATGCCATTAAGTGCAATGGATATTATCGTTTTGTAAATTCTAAATCTCAGATCTGAACACATATTTATTGTCTTAGTGTATGAATATTTTGCATCGGAAAGGGCTGTTACATATTTCCCCCAAACTGTTCAGTTTTTGGTAACATCACACTACCTATGAAATTTAAGACCTAACAATGACTAAATGTAATCCTGATATGTTCTGTTTGACCGGATCTTTTTATCGGCTGTGGCTGTAACATAACTAATTGATTTGCATATTCAAATTGCTTTGACCCTCTGTATCTTGTGAGTATAAATGCATTAACCTTTAATATAGTTTGTTTTCCGATATAATAAGTTCTTTTAAAATATTTGAAATTCTTTAAAGTTCAATAATTCCAAAGTAATTTCTTTCTTTTTTTTCGCTAATACACCTTTCTGTTCCTTTGTTAAATTTGTATTGGTAAAATGTTTTATCTACCACACTTCCTTTCAACATTTATTAGCTAGTTATCTAAGCTGGAAAATAACTTTCTACATTTTTACAGGTTTGCAAATATCTTATTTTTGAGGCTGAGATTGGCTTAGTTGCGGTTCGAAAGTTCCGGGGTTTGAGATGTGTTACATTTTGCACACTTTTAGCTGTAGGTGCTTTACAAAATTACGGTCAATAACGTTATTCGGTTCATTGTCGGGCGATTGCTGCGATTTGGCCGTCTTCCTTTTGGTCAGCAATCGAAAATTAAAGACGGCTACACTTCAACCCTAGGAGCTGTTTAACTGACGCGCGAACAATATACCATTCAGGTTGAAAATTCCAATTCAAAATCAGGGATAGCTGGCTATCCCTGAAACCTGTGGGAGTTTCTGACCTGGACGTTTAGCCCACGTGTGCACAATGTGCTGTTAATGTTGAAAATTCCAATTCAATCTCTTATTCAACGGTGCTTGCATTGATTGTCCTTGAATATTGTTTCATTCTTTACACTTTGAATACTGACCTTGTTTGAATTTTTGGCACTATTAATCACACAGCTGTGGAGACATGGCTTTGAGGAGGGAAGTAAAATACAGTTTTACACAGTGTCCTACACTGATTTCTTGGATGACTTCGTAGCATTTCGCAGTTTCTAAACAATAGTAAATGAGGGATGAAGAAGCCTGGATTGAACCTGACCCTCTCAGGTCGGCACAACGATTAAACACCGGCAAAGACCAGACAGCTGTGAAGCCTAATCTTTTCGGAAAATTCCTGTCAGTATTAGTATTTGCGGCGATTAAAGTACTACCTTACCCTATCAACCAAACCTATAATACATTATTACAAAGGGTAATCAGACATATATTTTTACTATAAAACAACAACAAAGCTTTTGAGATTATCATATTGAGCTTCTATTAAAAAAAAAAGGCATGTTACTGCAAAATAATTCAAAGTTATGTATCAAATTATTTATTTTATAAAACGTGGACCGAATATTGATACAACACTGGGAAATACTGGATGAAGCAATTCCATTAATTTGGACAACTAGCCTAAAATATTAGAGTACAAACACACACACACATATATATAGTATCACTGATATAATTATATATATATATATATACCCGTAACAAAACAAAACTACGAGTTAGGAATGTCTAGAAACTTTTATGAGAAGACAAGCCTGGATGTAATCAGAAACCTGAATAGTTTTCGTTCGGAGTAAAAAGCCGTAAAAAACATAAATCACTCCCTCTGGAAACGCTTGACAATAAACATATATCAGTCTTACTGAGGAGACTAGAGAAGGACAGTTTCGTTTGAGCATCGCGTAAAAGCGAAACCGAATAATTTATTGAATATGCTAGCTTCGAGCGATATTTGTCTGTTCAATTTCTGTATGTATTACAGCAATGGTTCCCAAACTGTCGTACACGTAACCGCGGTGATCTTTCTGTGAGTATGGGAGAGCCTTTGAAAAACATTAAGAAGAAAATAAACTCCACGCCTCAAAATTGGAGGGCAGTCTCGGCGAGTTATCAACGTACTCCACTAGTCATGTCAGCATTCAGCGTTTGCGTATTGTTGATTTGCTCTTTGATTATTTTATTTGTTTTATTTTTTTATTAACACAACCCGTTTTTAAGTTTTTGTAACAAATTCTATGCGTTAGGGATACCCCACTGGATCATAGGTCTGTTTGGCGGTACGCAGCCAAAATCCATTTAGACAGTGGTCTCACTATCTAAGTCTTCTAAGAGTATTAATGTATTTCGCGCATTACTCATGGATCACAACTACTTACTGATAGCAGATGTTGCTAAATTTAACAATAAGAGCCCACATCCAGCTATCGTTAGGTAACTCACGATCAGTATACATTAAGGTTTAACTGCCATTTATTAAAACTCCTTTGTTCGTCCTTGATCTTTAAAGTACGTCTAAAGCTATGTTAGTCTACAATAGAGAGCGTGTGATTTTGGCCTTTAGTGACCTTGAAACTAAAGTACTACGACTAATGTGCCGAGCGTAGCCCAATGGTCAGCGTGTCGAACTATGGATCTGTGGGTCAACCATTCGCGCTACGTAACCACAATAAAAGATAAATAAAATACGCTCCACACTGTGGGACCATGGGTGCATTATAAAGGTGACATTCAACTCCCACTGTTTGGTCAGATAAAAGTAGCCCAAGAGCTAGCGGTAACCGCTGTTGACTAGCTGTCTAATAGTTCAAAATTTGGGACGGCTAACGCAGATAGCCATTGAGTAGTTTTGCGATAATATTCGAAAAAAAAAGTCCTGCCATTTTATTTAATTAAGGATCTTGAATGAGTAACTTACACCAGAGGCGTCGCTAGATGCTGGCATACGGGATCCGTGCCCCGAATCTCAGTTACTGTTTTGAAAAATAAGAGTAGAAAACCATGATCAATATCACACTGAAACACCGTAAATCCCCGCGCCTCTGGGCTCGAGCCCCGCATCTTTTAAGCACCTAGCGACGCCTCTGACTTGCACTTAATATAATAAGTTTTGTATTTGATAATGTTAAACACTTCGACAAACTAAAATTCGTTAAAGAATACAGGCTAAATAGCTAAATTACACGAGTATTTGAATGTGGAAAAAATAACACTAGTGACCACAAAAGCTCCTTGAAATGACATTACAAATTAGATTTATAACACTTTAATATGCTTTAACCTGTTTTTGAGGAAAAGGATAGTTATAAAAGCCGAGTTCAAAAACAAAAATACATAAATTAAAGATTTCTAAAAATATATTTACTTCATTTTATAAATTATTATTCATAATTTGCCAAACTTAAACAAAGTTTATCTTTTAATTTCTCTTATATTTTCTTTTGCAGCTTCGAGTACTCCCTCGTCCAGTTGATGTACCAGACCACGGACTCATCTGTGACTTGCTATGGTCAGATCCTGACGAGGTGAGCACATAGCTTCTAACTAGTACTTTGTTCTCACAACATTTTGTTCGTTTCCTTGCAGATTATGAATGTACTGAATGAATATAGAAAATATTATCATCAGAAGTGTTATATTTACAGTACACATGACTTTGGTAGGCTTAAGTATAACTCCAATCAATGTAAACGTTAGTAGAACTATATTAAAAAAAAAATGAAGAAAGAAAGTTGGTTCATTTGTAGAAGCAAACTAAAGATATTCTGTAGATTGACTGACTGCCTAACAGTAAGAACACATTATATTGAGTGGCATACTCTTTAGGTGTATATATATATCAGTGTAATATCGTATCGATTTTCATTTTCAGGATATAACGGGCTGGGGAGAAAATGATCGGGGAGTCTCGTATACTTTTGGTGGAGACATCGTTCGATCATTTCTCAAAACCCACGACCTAAGCCTAATAGTCCGTGCTCACCAGGTGAGGTATCAATCAATTCAAAGAATTAAACAGTAATCCATCGTATTCAGTTGATCTATGGCGTTTTCACCAAAGGACTAAAGAAGAGTCACTGAGGGTTTCGAAATACCATATAACGTATCTGAAAAAAAAGTGTACTTTTTTGTTTGTTTGTTTTGTAATTAAGCACAAAGCTACACAATGGGCTATCTGTACTCTGCCCACTACGGGTATCGAAACCCGATTCTAGCGTTGTAAGTCCGCAGACATACCGCTGTGCCACTGGGGGGCCTAAGTTTTGTTTGTGTGTTGAGCGCAAAACTGCATAATGGGTTATGTGTGCTGTATCCACCACGGGTATCGAAACTTGTAACAGAAAAAGCGCTACTTCTACTTCTTCAAAGCAAAAAACATCGTATCGACCTAAATTAATTGGCATATAAATTAACTTTTAAATTCAAATTTAGTTTTAGTGTAAAAAAATAAACATTTAACAAGCTTTATATTATAGAGAAACAGAAGACTATCTTTCACAGATAGTAAATTTATGGACTTATGTTGTTTTTTAATAATTAAACGTGAAATTTATGAGATTTCCCTTCAAACAATTCTGTGAAAAATAGAACGCCCCTATGCAGCCTCGGGGGCTCCAGAGGAGGGCTTAATTTACACCGATTGTATACCCTGAATACATGTACAAGTTAGCATGTTTACATTTCTCATCATCTTCAGTAAGTTGTATAAGGAGGCCCGACATGGCCAGGTGGTTAGAGGACTCGATTCGCAATCTGTGGGTCGCGGGTTCGACACCAAACATGTTCGCCCTTTCGGCCGTGGGGACGTTATAAGTGACGGTCAATCCCACTATTCGTTGGTAAAAGAGTAGCCCAAGAGTTGGCGGTGGGTGCCTTCCCTCTAGTTTTACACTGCTAAATTAGGGATGGCTAGCGCAGACAGCCCTCGTGTAGCTTTGCGAGAAATCCATAACAAACAAGTTGTATAAGGAAATATGATGCACAGCTGATTTTTAAAGGATAAACTAATTATATCGTTATATTTGAGTGTAACAAAAGCACTATCATTCCCTCGATTGGTTAGTAAGAATGGAAGAACAAACTCACGATTTTATGTATAAAATGTAAGTATATGAAAAAAGTTTTCAAGCATGTAATTCCTAATGTTTAAGGATTTTGCCTTGTGCATCAGTTTAAATTGAAAACCAACGGAAAAACTCGAGATCAGATAAAGATGGGTAAATCTTCGAATATACGTTTAAAAATATAAAGTAACTAATACTTGCTGTTCATATTAGCGTGAAGCTTACTAAACTATAGCAATTTTATACTGTATTTCTTCCTTCGAGTATATGTGAGAGGTACTTCAAGGATCTTAGGATTATATTGTTTCCTGTATATATATTGGGAATTAAATATAAATCAAAGCACAGAAAGTTTGATGAATGTTTAAGGAAGTTTGCGTTCGTGATAAAAGTTGAAAAGGTAGTAATGAACTTTTGCATCATCGTTTTATTGAGCTATGAAAACAAATGTTTCGGGAAACATGATACTAAAAATGTAAATATTTATTTATTCATTACATAGGTATTAGTTATGAGTGTTCGATTGTTTTTTGCAAGCGTTTCATTTTCTTTTTTTTCCTTTTTTTTTTTGACCTAGGTTGTAGAAGATGGCTACCGGTTCTTTCAAAAGAGACAGGTTTGTATAAAATTATTAGAGCTACTACGTCAGTTATCGAGGCTAAACAAGAAGCCAACATTTTATGCTGATGTTTTAATTTTTTATTACGTTAGGTGATGTTCTCATTGATTATGTATGTACCTGCTCGTGTTACATGGATATCTTCAATACTTTATTTCCTAAGGACTTGTGTGCCCCCCCCCCAGTGGCACAGTGGTATGTCTGCGGACTTACAACGCTAGAATCCGGGTTTCGATACCCGTGGTGGGCAGAGCACAGATAGCCCTTGTGTAGCTTTGTGCTTAATTACAAACAAACAATAAGGTATTGTGCGTGACATTTTACCATCTTGATGGATACTTTTTTAAGAGGGGGGTGGGATCTGTTTATATGCTCTCCCTTGATTTGTTTATCTTAGTTATTGCCTGTTTAATTCTGATATGTTTATACATGTATGTGTAGAGCCAACGTTTTGTGTAAATGAAATCTTCATTGGCGTAAAGTCATATGCGTCTGAAACACTAGATGTTAAAATTACATAAGCCTCATTTCTAGCAGTTAATGATTAAACGTGTAACTAAAATGTGGGTATCTCTGTGGGAGTTAACTATTTATCTAATGATCCATACCTCTACTTAAATTATTTATATAGATCTGGAACAGCTGATTCTAGCATTTTCGACAGCATATTAGGGATAAGTGACGATGTGTGTCCATTTCCATTTTAGGATTATCGTCTCTCATTTCCTCCCTGTGTCGTGCCAGATAATTTATAAAACAGTTGCTACTTGACAACTTTAAGGTACATATATGACAGTTGTTTCTGATTAACGTTATACTTTTAACTCGAAAAGGGAAAGTTATTGGATTCAACAACAGAGAAATTTGTAGTTTTTTTATTTTTTTTATAGCTATAAACACAGTTCGATAGCTGAAAACTATGTTTACGGTGAAGTTTACATTTTTATTTTCAAGTGCTGTAAAGGTGGTTGGTTGGCTGTTGTAAGGCGATAGGAACACATTTGGTTGTGAATGCTGAATTTTATTTTGGGTTGATTTTATGGCCACTTTTGATTATAAACTGTGATGGCAGTCCAGGATTGTGACATATTGGACCTAAAAGTACCCTTACTTATCTGTGTCAGGTTTGTTCCATTTAATTGAAGCCAGCTTGTATATATATATATATGTCTTGGTATACAGGAGGTCTGTAATAAGCGGATCATTCTTGAGTTTGTATGAGTTCTACTGACGTAGTTGTTTTCTACCCTTTATACATTATGTCTTTTGTAGTAAACTATCTTGTGGTGGTTTTATATGTGTTCGTGTTTTTACCGTGTGGCTGTGTTATGTTTCATTTAACAATGGTAATATGTTACTATTTTACAAGCAATACAACACCGAATTTAAAAGTAATATTTAATGTATGTTCAAATTTTGACGAAAAAAATTACAAAGTTACATCCTATAAAGTACATATCAATTGTTCATTACATGTATACTTGTATTTATCACAGACACATACTTACACACTCCAATTAACCGGGGTAATACTTATATCTAACACTTTTACATCCGCAGTTACGAAGGTACGATTCATGTAATATATTATTGAGGTCTCTGATTGCATACTGGTATTGCATTTACTTCGAGATAATTATTTTCAACTGCTACCTGCTTTTTAACAAATCTCGTGCAAAACTAAAATACAACTTTCCAATCACTAATACAGATAAAGATAAACTTCTTCAGTGAACAACAGTAAATGGTAAACTACGCACCGTTTTTGAAAAAAAAACAACAACACGAAATTACCATTAAAAGTCAGTAACCAACTAAAAAACATTTATGCCCATAAAATAGCGAATTGCGTGTTTCGATCTCGTTAACTTGAAACATTCTTTTCTTACTCCAAATAGCGTGATGTTAGAGTAATTAAATTACTTCTTGCATCGTTACTTTACCACAAGAACGTAGTAGTATAATCGGTTTGAGAGACGTTTTAATTTCATCCCATATTCAACTCGCAATTAAAAACATCGTTCAGGAGATACAAGAAAGAATTCACGAGCTACATTTTCTCTTTCATTATCAGAACTGTAATTTGGATTGTGACAATGAAATACTATGAAAGAGAATAACATGTGTCTGCCTTACGTAGAATAAGGTATTTCAGTAAAACTTTTTAACATCAAGCCACAGTTATTTAGTTTACTAGTTATTCTATACTCCGAAAGGAGGCCAAAGGGCCGCATGGAGTGATCATCTGTTTTAACTACTCGTACCATTATACAGTAATGTGATGTTCTATCAGTCGGTCAGTAGACACTAAAATGACGTTACGTGAAGAACGTTGCAACTGGTACTGTCATGACGTCAGTAAAACGTGCGCATGCCATGAATCACGAGAATAATTATGCATTCTTTAAGCTACAACACAGCATGACATATGAACTTCAAAAGCAAGAAATAAAAGTATTTGTTACTCTTAATTTTGGTTTTATCTGCTCTTGAAACAGAACACTTTCGGGGACCCTGCGCAAATGCATCTAGTTTTATAGCGTCTTTAAGATATATGCTTTCGCGAAGGCAACAAAGTATGTTATGTACAAACGTATTTGAAATTTCGTCTGTGGCATGATTCATAAAACTCTAACTTTCCTACTGATTCATTCAATAAATATCCAAAGCACTGACAGAAAGTTGTACTCCTAAATACAGTTCTTATTTTATGAGCTAAAATTTAAAATGTGTTATGATAGTTATCAACTTTCCATCATTTTAGTTGGTGACTATATTTAGTGCTCCTAACTACTGCGGAGAGTTTGATAATGCTGCTGCTGTTATGACTGTGTCAGAAGACCTCACCTGCTGGTTCACGATTCTACCGGTAGGTGTTTTGTAGTATGAAAAGCCATAAGAATAAATTCATTAAAAAAATGCGAATAAAGAGAGACCTATTAATCTAAGTTGTAATTAAGGTATTGGATGCATCAGATATTACCGTTACAGAAGAGATAGAACATAAACTGTTTTCCTAGTAAATCTCATAAGACCTAATTAGTGCAATTTCTAAGCCTAAGCTTTACATACAATTACCACCTTATAAAATTAAGACACCATGCAATCTTTACTTAATGTTAAAGCGGATTCAATGAACCAGGGATATTAATGAAAAGTTCAGTGTTTTTGCTATTCAAGTGAAATCAAAACACCGACTGTTACTCGAGGTAAAATAACAGTTTATTTGTGCAAATACTCAACCACGATGACTACATTAAGTTTAAACGACATTACTAATTTACAAATACACAAATGGTACAAAATAAGGTTGAAGACAAACTTTGCATGATTCTAATTCAGGTAACGGTACAGAGTAAAACAATGCAACATTCTCATTTAGTTCTTGTACTTAACGCCTAAGTTGGAAAATATCGATTAACGAGCAGTAAGTTTTTATTATATCATAATGCGATATATTAACGATTGTTATCACTTCATTTTTTACTGGTTTCCAGAAAAAAGGTATGTATCGTGGTATATCAACTATGTTCCCGTTTTATGTTTTCACTGAATACTACGACTTACCACTAAAACATGATGTTATTATCATCTTATCGAGATGTTAACCATAAATATGAAACCCAATTTACCATTTAGTTCGCCACTTCTCACCGAGTTATACTGGATTTGGAAAATGTCACTCCTCATCAGTAACTTAAACAGCTTGTCTTTTGAATAATTCAGAAGAATAAATTAATAGCCTAAATGATACATTTCTTCCATTCTTGTATAAACTTAGGTTTATTGTAGTGAGTTTTGGAAATACAAGACTGTTTAGTGTAAGAGTTATTATTTATTTCATTTAGTGATTTAATATTTAAGGATTATTTAGTTTTTATAAAAAAGAGTGTTAAAAGTTGATTATTTTAAAAGCGATAGCTGTGATAAGTTTCGTTACCTAGCTCGGTACGACTCGTACGTTGTGTATGTAGTTTAATTGTTGTAGGCTTTTGTAGTGTTGTTGGCGTCATCTTTCACGAAGCTTCTAAGCTATTTTCGTTATATTTAATATTGTTGTTACTAGAGGGCTAAATATTTCTAGATTTTTCAGTCGCGTGTTATAAATATGTGCAGGTATAGAAAGTTAAGTCAGAAAACGTTAAGTTAGTGAAAGTGAAGTTTGATAGCGTGATTGTTAGTTTAGCCGTAACGGTAAATATTGAAAGTGAGTTTCACAGTAGTATTATAATAATAGAGATAAAGGAGAATAATTTGTATTTTCAAAGGGGGCGCTAAAGTTGAACCTGCCTGTGTGTGATTTTTTAAAGTTCTGGATACAAATGTGGTAACCCACGGGGTAACGTTAATAAATCTATCGCAGATTGTGCAGTAAGAAACTGAGTAGAGAAAAATAATTAGTCTTGTCAGTTGAGTTCTAAAGTAACTGAACTAGCCTGTGTGGACTTTTGACAAGAATAAATGATTATTTAAAGCTTTAGATACAACTTTGATAACCAATAGTGAAACGAATTTTTGTACATACACAGCGTGGTCACAAGTAAATAGACACCACCTTTTCAGAAAAAAATGACATTTTTCAGTCATATTCACATGAATTGATATATTTATAATTTAATTAATGTCTAGTAGATCTTCCTTTCGCTTCGTTGAGTTCGTTGATCCTTTGGGACATCGTGAGAATCATCTCGTCAATTTTAGATTGTGGGATTTTCGCCCACTCTTACTTCAAAACTTGGAGTAGATCGCCCTTCGAAGTTTTTTTTTGTTGTTTGTTTCTTGAGTATGGCCCAAAGATTTTCGATGGGGTTTATGTCAGGAGATTGGCTCGGCCAGGGCGACTTCTGGATACCATTTTC